TGGCATGAATGTTCCTTATGAGTTGCTGACCAAGTGTTGTTACTTTGCAGTCGATCCATCATCCAAGATGGCCGCTAGGGGGGGGGGGGCTTAGTTTAACATAGGACCCTATGGGAAATACATACAAATGTCTTCTTTTAGAGTACCACTGAATGGAATGAAACCAAACATGGCATGAATGTTCCTTATGAAGTGCTGACCAAGTGTTGCTACTTTGTTGCCGATTTACTGTTCAAGATGGCCACCAGGATATTTTATTAAATAACGGGACCAATATTAATCAAAATTTGGCCTCAATCATTATTTGGGTATCTGTTATGATTTTTATCTATCTTTACATGATTTCTAAAACCAAAGTAGAGTCAGGTGAGCGACACAGGCTCTTGAGAGCCTCTAGTTTTTCTTTTTTTCCTTTTTTGTTTCTTTTAAAATTTTCCATTTTAAGTTGGTTATTTCTGATTTATATTTAAAATCAAATAATAATGATATGGTACAATGTAGGAGATACACACCAAACAGGATGTGTAAATTATTATATAATAAGTATTGTGCAATAGCAAGAAATTTTCAATTGCACAGTATTGCACAATAGCAAGAAATCTTCAATTGCACAGTATTGCGCAATAGCAAGAAATCTTCAATTGCACAGTATTGCGCAATAGCAAGAAATATCCAATAGCACAATATTGCGCAATAGCAAGAAATTGTCAATTGTACAGTATTGCGCAATAGCAAGAAATATTTAATAGCACAGGATTGTGCAAAAGAAGATACTTCCTATAAATTGCTTATTTCTTGACCAATTTCAATGGGGTTTTATTCTTGATTTCATGGGGTTCTTTAATATGCTGAATCTAACCGTGTATTTAGTTTTTGGATTTTAGGCCCCGTTTTTAAATTGGTCCACATTGAGGTCCAAAGGGTCCAAAATTAAACTTTGTTTGATTTCATCAAAAATTGAATTATTGGGGTTCTTTGATATGCCGAATCTAACCGTGTATTTAGATTCTTAAATTTTGGTTCTGTTTTCAAATTGGTCTACATTAAGGTCCAAAGGGTCCAAAATTAAACTTAGTTTGATTTTAACAAAAATTGAATTCTTAGGGTTCTTTGATATGCTGAATCTAAACATGTATTTAGATTTTTGATTATGGGCCCAGTTTTCAAGTTGGTCCAAATCGGGGTCCAAAATTAAACTTTGTTTGATTTCAACAAAATTGAATATATGGGGTTCTTTGATATGCTGAATCTAACCATGTATTTAGATTTTTGATTTTTGGGCCCGTTATCAACTTTGTCCACATTGAGGTCAAAAGGGTCCAAAATTAAACTTTGTTTGATTTCATCAAAAATTGAATTATTGGGGTTCTTTGATATGCATAATCTAACCGTGTATTTTGATTCTTAATTTTTGGTTCCGTTTTCAAATTGGTCTACATTAAGGTCCAAAGGGTCCAAAATTAAACTTAGTTTGATTTTAACAAAAATTGAATTCTTAGGGTTCTTTGATATGCTGAATCTAAACATGTATTTAGATTTTTGATTATGGGCCCAGTTTTCAAGTTGGTCCAAATGGGGGTCCAAAATTAAACTTTGTTTGATTTCAACAAAAATTGATTATATGGGGTTCTTTGATATGCTGAATCTAACCATGTATTTAGATTTTTGATTTTTGGGCCCTGTTATCAACTTTGTCCACATTGAGGTCAAAAGGGTCCAAAATTAAACTTTGTTTGATTTCATCCAAAATTGAATTCTTGGGATTCTTTGATATGCTGAATCTAACCATGTATTTAGATTTTGGATATTGGACCATAATAGGTGAATGTCCAATTTAAAATTTTTAAGTTCTTAGACCACATTCATTCTGTGTTAGAAACCTATGCTGTGTCAAATATTTAATCACAATCCAAATGCAAAGCTGTATCAAGCTTGAATGTTGTGTCCATACTTCCCCCAACTGTTCAGGGTTCGACCTCTGCGGTCGTATCAAGCTGCGCCCTGCGGAGCATTTTATTGTAACTTCCTGACATAACTTGTGTGTTAGTGTATGGATCTCTCTGACATTGTACCACAAGGTTCCATATCACAAAGGGAATGCTGGGATTGATTTTGGGGGTAATTGCCTCAAAATTTTAGGAATTAGGGGCAAAAAAAGGGGCTAAAAACAAGCATTTTTCTAGTTTCATGACAATAACTTGTGTGTACGTGTATGGATCTTCCTGAAATTGTACCACAAGCTTCCATATCACAAAGGGAAAGCTGGAATTGAGTTTGGGGGTAATTGCCCAAAACGTTTAGGAAAAAGGGGCCAAAAATAAGCATTTTTATACGATCGCAAAAAAATTTTTGTGGTCGTATATTGGTATGACATTGTCGTCGTCCGAAGACACATTGGTTTACGCACTCTAACTTTAGTTTAAGTGAATGGATCTCTATGAAATTTCACTACAAGGTTCAATACAACAAAAGGAAAGTTGGGATTGATTTTCGGGGTTATGGTACCGACAGTAAAGGAATAAGGGGCCAAAAATAAGCATTTTTGTAACTTCCAGACATTACTTGTGTGTTAGTGTATGGATCTCTCTGACATTGTACCACAAGGTTCCATATCACAAAAGGAATGCTGGGATTGATTTTGGGGGTAATTGCCTCCAAATTTTAGGAATTAGGGGCCAAAAAAGGGGCAAAAAACAAGCATTTTTCTAGTTTTATGACAATAACTTGTGTGTAAGTGTATGGATCTTTCTGAAATTGTACTACAAGGTTCCATATCACAAAGGGAAAGCTGGAATTGAGTTTGGGGGTAATTGCCGAAACGTTTAGGAATTGGGGGCCAAAAAGGGACCAAAAATAAGCATTTTTCTAGTTTCCAGACAATAACTTGTGTTCAAGTGTATGGATCTCTCTGAAATTGTACTGCAAGGTACCATACCACAAAGGGAAGGCTGGGATTGATGATGGGGGTAATTGCCTCAATATTTTAGGAATTAGGGGCCTAAAAGGGGCAAAAAACAAGCATTTTTCTAGTTTCAGGACAATAACTTGTGTGTTAGTGTATGGATCTTTCTGAAATTGTACTACAAGGTTCCATATCACAAAGGGAAAGCTGGGTTTTGAGTTTGGGGGTAATTGCCCTAAACATTTAGGAATTTGGGGCCAAAAAGGGGCCAAAAAACACATTTTTCTAGTTTCCAGACAATAACTTGTGTTCAAGTGTATGGATCTCTCTGAAATTGTACTGCAAGGTACCATATCACAAAGGGAAGGCTGGGATTGAGTTTTGGGGTGGTGAATCATAAGGGGGTTCAAAAATTTGGGGGGGGGGGGTTCCTTTTTTTTCCTTTTTTTTCTTTTTTTTCCTTTTTTTTTTCTTTTAAAATTTTCCATTTTAAGTTGGTTATTTCTGATTTATATTTAAAAGCAAATAATAATGATATGGTAGGAGATTCACACCAAACAGGATGTGTAAATTATTATGTAATAAGTATTGTGCAATAGCAAGAAATTTTCAATTGCACAGTATTGCACAATAGCAAGAAATCTTCAATTGCACAGTATTGCGCAATAGCAAGAAATCTTCAATTGCACAGTATTGCGCAATAGCAAGAAATATCTAAGAGCACAATATTGCGCAATAGCAAGAAATTGTCAATTGTACAGTATTGCGCAATAGCAAGAAATATTTAATTGCACAGTATTGTGCAAAAGAAGATACTTCGTATAAATTGCTTATTTCTTGACCAATTTCAATGGGGTTTTATTCTTGAATTCATGGGGTTCTTTAATATGCTGAATCTAACCGTGTATTTAGTTTTTGGATTTTAGGCCCCGTTTTTAAATTGGTCCACATTGAGGTCCAAAGGGTCCAAAATTAAACTTTGTTTGATTTCATCAAAAAATTGAATTATTGGGATACTTTGATATGCATAATCTAACCGTGTATTTAGATTCTTAATTTTTGGTTCCATTTTCAAATTGGTCTACATTAAGGTCCAAAGGGTCCAAAATTAAACTTAGTTTGATTTTAACAAAAATTGAATTCTTAGGGTTCTTTGATATGCTGAATCTAAACATGTATTTAGATTTTTGATTATGGGCCCAGTTTTCAAGTTGGTCCAAATTGGGGTCCAAAATTAAACTTTGTTTGATTTCAACAAAAATTGAATATATGGGATTCTTTGATATGCTGAATCTAACCATGTATTTAGATTTTTGATTTTTGGGCCCCATTATCAACTTTGTCCACATTGAGGTCAAAAGGGTCCAAAATTAAACTTTGTTTGATTTCATCAAAAATTGAACTCTTGGGGTTCTTTGATATGCTGAATCTAACCATGTATTTAGATTTTGGATATTGGACCATAATAGGTGAATGTCCAATTTAAAATTTTTAAGTTCTTAGACCACATTCATTCTGTGTCAGAAACCTATGCTGTGTCAAATATTTAATCACAATCCAAATGCAAAGCTGTATCAAGCTTGAATGTTGTGTCCATACTTGCCCGAACTGTTCAGGGTTCGACCTCTGCGGTCGTATCAAGCTGCGCCCTGCAGAGCATTTTATTTTTCTAGGAGTTACGCCCCTTTGAACTTATTTGCTTCAATGTACTACTGCAACAGTTTGTCATCGCAACTCCTCTGAAACCACACAACAGAATTTCATGAAACTTTATAGATAATAAGGACATACTATGTAGATGTGCATATCAACAGGAAATTATGATTCAATTTTTTTTCTAGGAGTTATGTCCCTTTGAACTTATTTGCTCCAATGTACTTCTGCAACAGTTTGTCATCGCAACTCCTCTGAAACCACACAACATAATTTCATGAAACTTTGTAGATAATAAGGACATACTATGTAGATGTGCATATTGACAGGAAATTATGATTCAATTTTTTTCTCTTATACAATTTTTTTTTCTTACACATATTTTATTTCTCCAATGACAATGTGGGGACGTGGGGCACTCACTAAGGTTCTTTAATTTTTTCAGACTTGAAAACCTGGAATTAATAGAATTCCTGATACCTGAGAACTTACACAAAACTTTAGAGAAGCTTGAGAATTTGAAATCCCTAAATGTGTGGCCAGACACATCTAATCAGGTTAGTTTAAGAACTAGAGACAACATTATTTATTAAACAATCTAGTATCTATATCTATAATGCTTTAATATATGTAGGAAAGGTTTTCATTTTTCATTTGACTTATGTGGTTGTTTATATTATTTGGATTACTGTAAGGTAGCAAATTTGTTTTTTTAAAATCACCTTTTAAATTCTGATAGCATTATTTGTATGCTCTGTTTCTTGAAATCCCAATAACTTATTTCACACTTTCACTTATTGTTAAACAACCCCAATAATAAATGCATGCAAAAATTTCTGAATTGACAACAATTAATACATATTTTTGCCTTCCTTTGCAGCCTGCAGCACAGGTGAATTCCTATACCCTTAACACAGTAGCCAAGCTTAAATCATTACAACAGTTAGAATGGGGAATTCTTAGCAATAATAACTCTTCCATTATCTTAGATGGTGAAGATATGAACAAACAGCAAACACAAAACAACCAGGAATGGATTCCATTCTTACCAGCATCTGACAATGGATATGATGCTTTAAGTGAATCTTTGACAGAATATATCAGTCTGGTTAACTTTAAAGAGAAGTTGACAAAACTCTTGCCAAGTACCAAATTGAATGTGTTCAGTGCACAGACCATCTCTAGAGAAGAAGTAGATAGCTGATTACTTAATAGATTCCAGTTTGAAATGTTGAATTTGTTTACATTTGCACACAATGTACATTAAAACATACAGCGTTGAAGTTTTTAATTTAAAAAAATAGTTAAAGGATGTTTAAAATTTTAAAATGGGTGCTTTTAGTAGGATCAAATTTGTTATTAATTTTTTTCCTCCACAGTGCTGTAGATAGAAGTGATAAGTGCTTTTAAATGGTTGCCATGACTGACGAAATATTTTCGTAATATCTATACAGTAAAGTGGTTAATTTTACATATAGTAAATTTCATGCTTTCTGGTACCAAACATGTTCATTTGGTTTTTTTGGCTGTTTTTCTTAATTATGACCTTACTTATTGATTGAATTTATTCAAAAAGATATTTTCCTGATATCTGAGTTGATATCTTAGTAACAAAATTAACAAGAAAAGCACTCCTAAAAATTTCCCACTTTACAACAGGAAGGCAGTTTTTTTTTTCTTTTTAATTTATTATTTTTTCCTTTAAAATTTTTATTAAAGTTATACATTGGAACTGCCATTTATATCTATCGAAAATAATTACTGTCTACAGTCTTAGGATTAGGTTAACAGGAAATAAATATTTAAAAACCTCAGTAGATACACACCAGTAGAAAGTCAAGTATACGTTGAAATTAGTGCCATAATACTAGGGTATCTAAATTTATTATCAAATATTGATTTACATCTAAATAGGTAAACATAGCAGCAACTATATGCTCCAACTTTCAGGGATATCATCAGTTGTCTGATTCACAAAATTAATCAATTATAATTGATCAATTTAGAGATGTTATTTTCAGGAATCAGCGTAAATTTCTTGCATATTCCATGTCAATTTTTTTAAGAAGGTCATTTACGTTGAATTATTTTTATGATTCTCTGCAAGACTCCTTTTCAAGGCAAGTTATGCAAAACTTAATTGTTACACTTTTAATATTATTTCAATTTCAGTACTGATTATTATTCCACATATTAAATTTTGATTTGTGTTTGTTATACATGACACTTTTATAACACAAGGAATATGTAGAAAATATTTGATGACAGATCAGCATGTGTTCTTATACCTTTGACCTCTTGTTCCCACAGTAAGATTGAACCTTTGACCTCTTGTTCCCACAGTAAGACTGAACCTTTGACCTCTTGTTCCCACAGTAAGAATGAGCCTTTGACCCACAGTAAGATTGAACCTTTGACCACTTGTTCCAACAGTAAGATTGAACCTTTGACCTCTTGTTCCCACAGTATGATTGAACCTTTGAATTCTTGTTCTTTTTGTAAGATTGTACTTTTTACCTCTTGTTCTCACTGTAAGATTGTACATTTGAACTCTTGATCCCATGGTTAGATTGTACCTTTGACCTCTTTTATCCACATTAAGAATGAACAGTGACCCTTTGACTTTTTGATCCCATGGTAAGATTGAACAAGTGTCTATTGTTTGTAATTGATTGACAGATGTTCTGTGGTATACCTTGTTAATTATAGATTATCAGTGATTCTGAAAAAGAGATGGAGTTTTTTGGCTACAGTCTCATCATGGGGATTAGCCCTGAGATGAGATGTTGCAGAGAAACTTCCTTGTGTTGGAAAGACCATAGTTAATCTGTTTATAGATATTTTTCTAGACGTCAACATTGTCAATAACATTGGGTTATGATGTCATCATATTCTTCAGTACTTGACTGAGAAAACCCCTTTTTAGTCGGGTAGCGGTGTGATGGAAAATTATCATACGGAAACAAAAGAAAATATTAGAAATAGCGATATAATATTTTTCAATAAATTATGGATAAAAAAAACTTGATCTGCTATCAGATAATGAACTTGAAACATTATTTTTAAATTCAGTTTTATTTTTTCCTATGAAGAACTGTTCCTACAAGATTTGTATATGTGGCTGAGAATACAGAGTGATGTGATCTCCATCCTGCAGTTGGGAGTTATATTACATCTTGGACTCCATGGGGGAACTAAACAAAAAATAAATTTTGTTGAATCTAAAATGATCATAATAAAAATCATTATGAAAAAAAAATAAGACGATGTGGTAGATGAGTTTACCAAGATGTTAAAGCAACAATATTACTCAAATTAATTGCCAGATAAATACATAAATACAAAATATATTTAGTGTCCTTAAATATCAGCTGTATTTGAGCTTGAAACAAGAGAAATGTTCGCTTAAGCTTGTATTTCACCTGTTTCATATCATTGTACAAATACAGCTGATATTTAAAGTCACTAAACATATATTATCTAGGTTTGATGTAAGCTTTACGTTTATTGTAATAAAGCTGATCATGAGATTCAGTAGGGGATTTTTGAGTTCATGTGCATTTTTGATTATTAAGATGTCGATAAGATGTACCTTATTTTTGTTTTACTTAAAACGTTACAAGCATTGTTGTTGTTTTTAATTTTTATGTCAGTTGAACAATTTTGACAAAGAGATTATTATGTTGTATTATACTGTAAATAATTTCACATTCATCTTAAATATTTGTGCAAAATTAAGCTAGTAGAAAAAGATGATATGAGCTTTTGCCAGTAGCTACTAGTATGTCTTTGTATGAAGCTGTCTTTATTTGAGTCTCTCCATAATATTATTTGCTCTGTTTTTTATTCTTTTTTTTTAGAATTTTATTCAAACACCAGTAACTCAAATACATGATTCTTTATACTCAGTTATGTCATTACATTATCATCATCCTTGTATAGTCCATTGTGTATAATCATGACTAAGATTCAGCAGATTGCATTTTGTTCTGGTTGACCTTTGCATGGACTTTAAACTTCATGAAAATTGTACTTGTCTGGACTTTATTTTGTAATGCCTGCACATCTAGAGTTGATTATGTGGTAACGATCAAGTTTTGTGTTTTGTTCCATTTTGACAGATTTTTTTGTTATTAGGAATTTGTGTCAAACCAACACATATAGATTTGAATGAATTGAGTGATCCTAATATTACTATATTTGAAGCAGAAAAGACCAATACAGAAGTTCTGAGATAGCCTGTATCTTCAGGTCCAATCTCTTTTCACACACACAAGTCATATAATTACCCCAGAAAGTTAAGCATGGTTAGAATCCACAACATCTTTTGAATGAAATATCCACTTAAGGGTAAATTCACATGCTTATAAGTTTTTAACTTGGTGTGGGAGTTAAAAATTAAAAAAAAAAATTAAGTGAAAATCTTTTAGGAACTTTCTACTGTAAATTCAGAAATTATTGCATGCATTTATTATTGCGAATCCTTGACAACTCAACTGGCAAAAATGCAAAATCTAATTAATGTGATTGGCAAATATCTGACATGGGAAAAACATTTTCTGAATTTCCAGTATTTGCTGAATTAACCTGCAAAAAAGACTTAAGAAAATGCATAGAAAAGGGTCTTATGATAAATCCTTTTCAAATTCAATGTTGAAACGACCACTATGTCAGGATTCTTGAATATCGTCCTAATGATTTGTAAGATATAAATATATCATTATTTCATTTTGTTCCTTCATGTACAGTATTTAAATTTTCATCAAAGACCATCCTCCATTATTCTTTTAGAAACATTCTAAATCCTTGAGTCATTTTTGTATTGATATACATGTTGGATAACGTTTTTTTGCCCAAAATTAAGGTAAACTATATAATAAATGTTTAATGGTCCAACATTTAATAATTCAAATCTATGCATACTTTTAAGGTTAATGTTTGATTTTGTTTTTAAAAAAGAACAAAACTATTGTGTTCAAGAAATTTGATGAATATACCGCAAAGTGAACATTAAATGGCCAGCAATTAATCAGTTAATTTCTATATTGATGGTCTTTAGACGGTATTATAAAAATCATATGAACAATGTATAAGTTCATTAAATTGTTTGTTCTTTTTATCTGTCATAAGGTTCAAATATGCATTCTTCATTTTTAATATCTATGGAAATAGAGGTCATGTTCGAATAATCCAAGGAAACAGTACAGGTATAAATAATATTTTAATTTAGTATGAACAAATAGATTTTTACATGAGAACATTTTTAATGTCTATGGTTGCAGTTGAATTTTTACAATAAATACATACTTAAATATATGTAGTTGTCATATATGACCAGGGATTTCTTGAGAACTGATAAAGAATTACATCTCTGAATGTTTAGAATTTAAAGCTTGTTTTTATTAGTGTGAATCTGAAAATACCAACTAGGATGAATTAATGCAATTCTTATACATAATTGTGTTCGAATATTATTATGAAAAATGGAAGCGCAAGTTTTGATTTTTTTTATTGTTAATCCTGTTGCATTTTCTGCATTAATAAAAACTTCAAAGTAATTTCTGAATGTTCAGCTATGCAAATGTAACAAATTTTGGGTATATTGACATTCCTGACAAAACAAGATATTGGACAAAATATGAGTCTTAGCATAAAACCAGAGGTACTGTGAGCAAATTCGCAAAATGATTCTCCCATCCTACTACCACTTACAGCAATGACAGACTCCATAACTTTTTCTAGGAAAACACTAAGAAATATTCAGCTTAAAAAACAAAATGCATTACATGGTGAAGATTCTAAGTATTTCTGGTAAGTAGTTGAGGAGAAAATCTAACCAAAAAAGTCATTCAGATGAAGGAATGAAATAAATGATTGGTACAAAAGAACATCTTGTGAGTTAGATTCTGAGAAAGTTTCACTAAGTTCTGTCAAGCTCTTACAAATCAATAGCTAATTCAGAAATGGAACTGAAGGTTAAAGGATGGACCCCTATAAACCACTGGCTTCACAAGGCGTGGGGATAATAAATGGCAAGCACTTTTGTGTAATCTCTAAAAGCAAGAAGATGTTGTATGATTGCCAATGAGACAACTCTCCACCATAGACCAAATGATGTAGAAGTTAACAACTGTTTATTTTAATATTTCAGTGAAATGTTCTGATGGGTTCAATCCATAACTTAATTGGTTGTCTTTTATCCATGACCATGCCATTCTTTCTGTGGTAAAATGTTTGCCAACATTTCCATGCTTGTCAACTACAACCACACCTCCTGAACCTTGAACTCTTGTGGCCATGACAGATAATGATTCCTCAGCTGCCTCCTGCACAGATTTACCTTAAATTGGATTCAAATTGAACAATGTTTTATCTATTAATACTTTGGAAATCTGAAGTGCTTTTCTGGTTTTACCTTCATCTCAAATGCTCAAGCCCAAAAAGGCAAGGATGTATAAATTCTTGAATATTTGAGGAACTAAGTTACATTGGGTCTTCACATAAGTTAGTCACTTTAAAGAGATATATCAGCATTTACATACCTTTATCAGATCACACTAAACAAAGTTTGTGAGAATAAAATGAGTATTTGTCTGAGGATAATTGCTGTATGCAGTATTTATGCAAAACACCGTTATTGTATTAAATGCAAGGTAACAGTAACTGGTCATAGACCATTATGATTTTTAAAAAAGCAAATTTTGACACTTGTATAATCAGTTAATTTCCTAGATAGAAATGAAAAGTTATAAAAAAATATTAAACACATTAATAACAGTTGATGACTATAGTTTTACCTTGTTCTAATAATGTAGTGATATTTTTAGCCAAGCAAACTTTGAGTATTGATTCTCCATGTCCTGTAGTAGACACTGCTCCAGAATTATTGTCAGCATACCCACCAGAACCTGTATTATGACAATCTTATGTATAAAAATTTAAAACATATATGGTTTGATGGTTCATGTCTAGTCATTGTTTGATAATGTAATGATGATACACTATATTCCTTTTTTTTCAATGTGAAATGTGTACAAACCTTTCTTTCAAAAAGAGTTAAATTTTAGCACCTCACAAAAAAAGTTCTGAACACTGTTTCATGTCCATCAATTCTGTAACAGTTTTTGGTATTGAAATCATGCACTCAAATATTAGCCCCTCTAGTTCACAGCGGATTTCATGTAGCAATGCAAGTCATGAACAGTACAGGAGTAATATCTTGTGAAATACCCAAAGAGTTCCATTTAAATCTTGATAAATTTTAGGAAATCTGGTTCATCCTAAGTATGCATGAAACATTTGGGACTGGACGTTCAAAGAAGAGAAACCAATTATTCAAAGAAGGTTTATTGGTCAATATCTACATGTAAGATTACTCATGCCTATCACCACAATATTAGGATTTCTAGACAAGCTCTTGTCATTCACATAATCCACAAGGTACATTTCGTCTATTCACATGTTCTAGCACTTATCAGTTATTCTTTAACAGTAGATGAATGCAAAAACATCTGTGCTGAAGGTCAAGGATTCACATCAAGTACCAAAGTTTTTTCCATCAATGAAATTGCGGTTAAAAAATTTCATTTTTCGAAATTTTACTGATAATTGGACACTTATTGGCAGTCAACAACATTTTTACACTGACAGCAGTAATCACAGTCAAGACATGGATCCAATGAACCCTTTTATTATTTGGAACTTAACCGTGATTATTTTTAATTTACCTATAATAGGACTATCCCCAACTCTGCCGGGCATTTTAGCTGTAATACCACCAGTTGATGTTCCAAATGCTACATTGCCTGATGTATCTATTGCTACTGCACCTACTGTATCATGTCCAATGGGGTTTCTGGATAATAAGGTTAAATGATTAAACGTATCAAAAAAATGTATTATCTCATGTAAAGTATTCAAATGACTGGCTAATAAGGTTTACACGAATTTAAAATCATCTGTTTCTTAAAACGTAGAACAAATACAGCATTTGCTGGAATATATGTATTGCTTTGTTTTAGCATTCGAAAACATCAAATGAATATTTTTTTTAAATTTATCTACTATCTTGAAGATATTCAACATCATACCTTCTGTGGGTTAAAGGGACACATACTGAAAGCCTTTTGAAAGAATTTGCTTCAGACAGAACAAATGTGCCCCTCTAATTCGCATTGTTACCTTTGTTTAAATAAAGTATCCACTGTGACTTTGAATTTGACATACTGTTCCCATTCTCTGATAGCTTCTTCGGTGACAAGTTGTTTTGTTTGGACACTTTCAACACCCATTTTTTCTGCAAATTTGTTAGCTCCTTTGCCTACCAATAAAACATGATCCGTCTGAAAAACAGATTCTTCTGATTGTTTTGTAAGCATGAACGTTAGTCCAAGAATTTTATCGTAAGATTAAACAAGAGTGCACATACTGGAATGTCTCGACTGATTTACTGACCATGATTGATTTTATATCGAAATTTCCTGAAGATAAAGTTTTACTACAAGTATCACATAAACTTAATATTATCAAATGAAATATGAAAATGAGGTCAAGGTCAAATGAACACTGCCAGACAGACATGTACACCTTGCAATCGTTCCTTACACCAACTATAGTTGACCTATTGTTTATCTTAGAAGAGGACCAAACTACTGAAACGTAACATTGACAAATGAACTATGAAACTGAGGTCCAGGGTAGATGATACCCGCCAGACGAACATTTACAACTTGCAATCATTCCACACACCAAATAAAATTATAGTATTAGAAAAACAGACCAAAACACAAAAACTTAACATTGACCAATGAACTGTGTAGATGAGGGCATGGTCAGATGAAACCTGCCTGACTGACATGCACACTTTACAAAATTAGAGGTTCTAAAGAGCATGTGTCGCTCACCTAGGTCTATGAGCATCTTCAACAATGGACTCTCTCCAACATTGTGGACTATAATAGAATTCATGACAAAAACCTTTTTTTTTGTTGAACTTGTATTGCTGATCAATTTTTCTCTTCACAGTTTCTCTCTATTTTCCTTGATTTTGGCCCAAAAAACAAATATCATTTAAGGCAATCACTCCTATAAAGAGTAAACCAACGACTTTCATCAAATTTCACTTATTTGTAGATCTTGTCTTGCTGATCATTGTTGCTATTTAACATGTCTATCTTTTATAGTTTTCAAGATAATAGGCAAAAACGTAAAATATTGGTAAAAACTGTCATTAAAGAGCAAAAACTCCTACAAGGAGTCAACCGACAATTTCGGCTATTTGACTTATATGTAGATCAAGTCTTGCTGATCATTTTTGCCTATTTAAGTCTCTATCTATCTATTAGTTTTTCAGATATTAGACAAAAACGCCAAAAAAATGGTAAAAATCATTATCAAAGGGCAATAACTCCAATAAGGGGTCGTCAGACAATTTCGGATCAAGAGATTAAACTTATTTGTAAACCTTGTCTTGATGATTATTTTTGCCTATCTAAGTTTCTGTCTATCTATTATAGTTTTTCAGATATAAGCAAAAACGTTAAAAATAGGAGAAAAATCGTCATTAAAGGACAGGCAGGGTCAGGGTCATCGGACATATTTTTAAAACTAGATACCCTAATGATGATTTTGGACAAGTTTTGGTTAAATTTGGCCTTCTATTTTCAGAGAAGATTTTTGTAAAAGTTAACGCGATGGACGACGACGGACGCCAATTGATGAGAAAAGCTCACTTGGCCTTTTAGGCCATGTGAGCAAAAAAACGTGTTATAATTTAAAAATTTCACATTCGGTCAAGTTTCAGAGTTCAAAAATTTACATGACCGTTAATTTAGAAAAAGGTGATGTCTTAGGGTTAGAATAGAGTCAATTGCCAATCTGCTATTGAGTGATGTCTAATCACTTGATATAACTTATCAACGTATTTTATAGGAGTAACACGACGGTAGTCACATGTGGAGCAGGATCTGCCCACCCTTTTTACAATGATGTTTGTCTTTTGGTCTTTTTTCGATGTTTTTAACCATGGCTTTGTCAGTTTATTTTCGACTTATGAGTTTTAATGCCCCTTTGGTATCTTTCGCCTCTCTTTTACAATCATTTAATACACCACATATAGTTGACCTTCTGCTTACAGAGTCTGATAAACGGACCTAATCACGTACGTAACTTTTACCTTGATCACTGATCAATGAAATGAGGTCGAGGTCAGTGAACCCTGTCTGACGGACACGTAAACCTTAATATGTGAGAAATTCATATGACAAAGAAACGTAACATTTTTTTTCAAGTAGTCACTGAACCCGATGATGAAAATGAGATCAAGGACAATAGATTTATGACATATGACAGTCGGAAATTTGTAACATAAGGCATCTGTATATAAGTTATGAAGCCTTCATGTCTTCTACCCTCTGAAATATTAAGCTTAATACAAAAAAATACGCCGCCGCCGTCGATATAGTAATTCCTATGTCGCTTTCTACAACTTTCGTCGTAGGCGAAACAAAACATTGAGTAGTCTCATTAACTAAAGATATTATAATGTTTAGTTAAATTTTGGTTTCAATTTACAAGCTGTGTGATACCTGAATGGTTTTCATGCACTTCATTTATCAACACTACCCATCCTGTCTTATAGCACAATTATCGTTCATTCATCTGCAGATCCTTAATCTGATCACATCCAATCATGAAATACGGTGTTTTGGTTAATTTTTGTTTTAGGGTTGCTATCTCATTGACGAATAATACCTGGCGCCTCCTTTTATTCTTAACATCTATATGATCCTGTATGTCATTTCGCCTGTTTTTCTTTTTCCTCGATCTTGATTTATTGATATATTCTTCGTGTATATGATATAAGTATAAATTTGATTACACTGTACTTGCTTCATACTAACAACCTTTCAATTGCAGTGGGCTAAAACTTTTCACAAGTTGGTTAGTTTAATTAGATGATTTCAAGCTGCAACTTGGAGAAACATTTTAGTCTACTAGTATTGGTATTGTGAAAGGCTTTTTAGATGATTTCAAGCTGCAACTTGGAGAAACATTTTGGTCTACTAGTATTGGTATTGTGAAAGGCTTTCGGGTATACACAGTAACTTTTGTATCGTTTACTATATACATGTGTGTGATATTCGAACAGCTATGTTGTACATGTATGACCACTGCGAAACATTAATTTGACAATAACAAATGCTAAATTACTAATTCTGCTATTATCTGCTATGAGAGAAAAGATACCGTGACAAAATACGTGAGTGATTTCTAATTAATCCATTGGTTGGTATCATATAGTTTTACGTACCCCTTTGGGGTTGTTACAATTGTAATATGTCTAGTAATGTTAATACCTTGTCCATTACAAGCCTTGCTACGGATATTGGATTTTTGATGTTTTGTATGCATGCTACAGATCCACATTTCAAGTCTTTACCATCCATGACTACTGCATCCATCTCTACCTCGCCATCTGTATTTAACACTGATCCTGTTCCTGATAATACAAATTAAAGTTACTAAATCCGATAAAGAAGGAAATCCATTTTATGTTAGCTGACCTGTAGACTCCTGGTAAATGTTTGGTTAAATAACTTATCACGTGTTAGGTCTTACATCCTTGGCTTTCAAACGTTTTGGTGTGAGTATTCCTGATAAAGGTACTGAATTCAGAATAAAGCTTCGGACGCAAAAAAAATAGTAAAGTGGAATTTACAGTTGGCTCAATTTAGAAGGCAAATAAGGAATAACTTATTACTATTTGGGAAATGTTGTTTTGCTACTTGGGTTGAACTGTAGAAGGTAGAGGTCGGATTCAATTGTGATTTGCTTTTTTAATACAGTAATTGACTAAAAAAACGATGCAAAAATAAGCATACTTCAATGACAGATACATTAGAACATTGTCTAGATATGTGCAAGTCGTTCCTTCAAGTTCCTCTTGTACATAATTTTATTAAAATTAAGTCGTCATGGTATCTATTTCATAACAACACGAAGACCTGTACAAACCTGCGTCAAAAGCGGGATCATCCTCTAGACTTCTTACTGCAGCTTCTACAGCATCAACCGCTGATCCTCCTTTCTGTAATATCGTGTACCCTATTTGAGCTGCAACTTTGACACCCTCTACGCTGGCTTCAGCAAGATTATCAGGAATTGCCCATGCTCCTCCGTGGATTGCGATTGCAGGAATTTGAGACATAGTGACCTATAACAGAACTAGCAGACAATCATACTTTTAATGGAAAATTCATCTGGCATTGCATTTCTAACTTGAGAAACTGAGAACCCGATTAATTTACGAAAGATTATTGTTTCATGTCATAAACTCTTTCTTCGAACGATTACAAGCGTCATGTTAAAAATGTTAACAGAGGGCTCGATTTTAGCAATTTAGCAATTATCATAGTACATAGAAAACAGTGTTAGTTTGTACCAGCTGACGAAGCAGCCAGCAATAATTGGGCTGTTTTGGCATAAGCGCTAAACTGAAATACTCAAAACAGGGACCACGAATTTTAGCACTTTCATTCTTACGACTTTTAATGAAAAAAAAATATTTATGGATAAACACCTATAATCAACAACTGCATGAGTTGACAACAACTACTAACACAATGTTCACTCTTGGCATTTGCTATTTAGTTACAATTAAGATCATACATTTCGTTTTATACATGCATCCTGTAAACGTTTAACTAGACAGAGATATATGGTATTTCGGTTCTTCTTACTAGTGTTTGTACGAATGTTAAGGAACTTGTTGTCAAATACTGTGACAAAGCTTATATTGATATCGGTGTTAAATGTTTATTTTGTGCTAAAAACTTTTTGGGGAAATGAAAGTAACACTTTATAAATTTAGTGTGTACGCAGCGTTTTTCTAGATGTACCTTGACCAGGAGAGTTCAAACCAACAAATAAAGCCAGGGATTGTAGATACTTGAGTACACGAGGAGCTATATGACCAACAGGGGCCTAACAAGAATAGCCAAATCCACCTTCGGTCAACTTTGCCAGAGGGGTTGGAACTTTAGTTTCTTAAAAATTCATAATAAAGCGGAGATTTAAAAATCATTTTAGTGCAGAAGTCTTTGATAAGCTACTATGTTCTTTGAATGTCAGTTTGTCCCCGGTAACCACTAAGATTTCTCTACTGTGTATACTACAATACCTCTTAATATTTCCAAACAGACATTTTTGTATTTGATAGAATGGTTTTGCCATTACATCTAGGCGTAACAATACTGTTGAAATTGTTCAAATCCCCTTTCAATAAGTAAAACTTGCAAAATTACACTTATTAGACATGCGACCATGATGTCATGAAATTCATGTAACGATTTTAAATTTGCACATGCGCTTCTTAAAGACTCAAAGTTGTATGTTTGTTAGCTACAGTTGTAAGGTCATGCCCTAGAAATGACACCTGCTTCATATCGAAGAAAATTTTTAAAAGTCGAAATGTTCGGCCGTATTCCATTGATAGTAGATCTTATATGTCCGCACTGTACGACCTTCAACAATGAGCAAAACCAATAGCGCAAGATTAGAAGGGCCCCAAAATGACAAATTTAAAACAATCCCAATAAATATGATATACAGCAACAAACTACAACCACTGAATTACAGGCTCCTGACTTGGGACAGGTACATACAAAATTTAGCGGGGTTAAACATGTTTGACATGTTCAACATATGAACAAACTATAAAAATCAGTTGAAAAGGGTTTAACTAATCAGATCGATACAAAGCAGAAAAACAAGTAACAAAAACACAGACCGGACGTGGTAGGGAATTTATATATCCCTACAACAAAAAAGACACTCTAGTTAAAAGCACTGAAAGATTAGTAGTAGAACATTTAATAGAGGCCGATCGAGATGAAACGATATTTTACGGGTTTTTTGTGTTGTTTAGGAAACCAATACATAGAAGATACTTTCAAATGTTCAGGACAGGTCTTAAGCTGTAATGTGGTTTTGATTTGACTGTTTTGCTATATGACTCTCTGTGGATCGCACTGACCTGAATGTAGAAAAATTTGTAGTTTCATTCTTAAGAATTTCCGTGTAGTATTTACGTCATACCACCACCGAATTGTTGGCTGGTTTGTCGGCTGGTAAAACACAAACCGCTTTGCAAGTACTTATTCTATGATCGATATAGAGGTTCCCCGTAATAACATGGCCATAGGGGTCATATCTAAAATTCGACGATTCACTGTCTCAAGTTAGATGAGTATTATTTTCTACGCTGACGTCTGATTTAACTGAAGTATAATTAAAAATTAAACTTCTCCTGTTTTTTTTTTTAATATATTCGAAATAATAGGTGGTTCTGTGTTATCAACATAGGGAGGTGTAAAGTTTTGAATGGTAGAGGCATTAAATATACTAGATAAGTTGATAAAATCAATACCTCTGTTAATATATTTAATTTTCAGAAAATATCGTTTATGATCTTCAGGTTTATTGATACGCGGGAATAGCCTTTAAAGACAAACAGCTGTAATTATACGCGTACATTCATAGAATTGGCATAACACATTAAAAAACCGCTAAATTGGCTCAGCGTGTCGGACTAGTACACAATAGGGTTCAGATTTACATCACATTATCACGTTCTCTCCCTGAATATGCATCTAACTTGCCACAGGAGTTTGAAGGGCTATCCATCATCACCATCATCTCTATTGATAAATTGATGATTTTGCACTTTTTGAGCGAAGGTACTTGTATACATAATCATTTTAACATGTTCTCGTCCTGAATATGTATTTAACTTGCCAATGTGCGTTAAACAGACACCCATTATCAACATCTTTATCGTACCATATTGATAAATTGAGAATTTCTTAGCAGGATCTGCTTACCCTTCCGGAGCACCTGAGATCATCCCTGTTTTTTTATGGGTTGCGTGTTGCCCAGTATTTAGTTTATTTGTTGTGTTTTGAAGACAGTTGTTTGTCTTTTGTTCGTTTTTCGTTTTTTTGCCATGGCGTTGCCTTCAAATTGCGAGTCATAACTAATGTCCCTCTGGTAAATTCCACCTCTCTTGACAACTTCGGCTTTTTTTTGGCGAGTGCAATTAGTGTCATTGTATACATACATTATCATGTTCTCGTCCAGATTATGAATTTAACTTGCCACTGGACGTTAAACCGCCACCCGTCATCGTCATTTTCATCGTACCCTATTGACCTTATTGATAATTTGACACCTTCCGCCAAGTTCGCACTTTTTTGGCGAGATATAACAAATAGTCACAATTTCAAAAATTTCTTGTCCTTAATGTAAGTTATCTTGCCACTGGACAAGAAACAGTCATGCATCATCATTATCATTATCGTACCCTATTAATAAATTGATATAGCTTCTCACTTTTTTTGCGAGGTATTACAAATAGTGTACTTGTATACATAAAAAGCAGAAGTCCATTACTTGTAATGGACTTCTGATAAAAGTAATAACATATTCTCGTCCTGGACGTTAAATAAACATCCATCATCATCATCTTCGTCGTACCCTTTTGATAAATTGATAAATTTGCACTTTTTGTTTACATAAAAGTAATAACATATTCTCGTCCAGATTATGAATCAACCTTGCCACTGGACGTTAAATAGCCATCCATCATCATCATCTTCATCGTACCCTTTTGATAAATTGATGAATTTGCACTTTTTTGTTTTTCAAATATTGTAAATAGTGTACTTGTATACATAATCACCTTAACATGTTCTCGTTTTGGTGCATTTAACTTGTGGCCTGCAATACGGAGGGAAAGCGAACACCTCACTGTAAATTCAAGTTGAGCTGAATTCAGTTAGATTTTGAAACGCTACTTCTGTGCTTTGAAGATGCGGGATACTAATAAAGAGCGAAGCAATCTCGTTCAGTTTTAAAGCTTGTACAAGCTACAAAGCAATTGCGCCATTGCTGCTTCAAATCTCACAAAGTATGTATATGAATTGAACATTCTTACCGTTTGCTTGTGTTTATCACCAGAATTTGTCCGAAAGCTAGGACATTGTGTGACCAATCACCTGTTGCCAGAAATAAATGTTTAAGCAGGTACAAGTTAATCCAAACCGATGAATTTTACATCTGTGTCATATATCAGGTCACTTTAACTACTAGTAGTGTGTTGACATTAATATATGAAAAAAAATACAAAAGTTCAGAACAAATGTTTAAACAATGGTATTTTTCGATACAATGGAGAAAATAATCTGGACCAGAAATGCTAAATGTGTTTTCTCTATATCACACTATGATAGAATTTCCGGTGTAAGAAAATTTCAAATATAAACCAGTCAATTTTACATGTAAAGATGATACTTTTTATCACAAAATATTGGAACGACAGTACTCGTTCCGTTCAGACACTCTAAATGAAGAATGCAGTAATTATGTATTAACTAACGAATGTACTATGGCTATATAACTTTTCAGAAATGTTGTCCAAATTGGCCTGGTGAATTCACTGACCTGATCATCAACAATACAAGGTCAAATTAATGGAACAAAATTTTCTACAGATTGCTATACACAAAGTTGTTGGTGGTCGTTAATGTCCAGCAGCAAATATTACATGCGTACTAAAACCGGTACCATATTGATAAATTAATGTACCCTGCTTTAAACTATATCGATACGCTGAGTCAGATTGTTTTAACTCGCTTACCCACAGGAATGAGCCTTACCCTGACACGGTATTCTGAGAGCGAACCAATCAGTTTTTTCCCTCTTATTCCTAAACACATGTGTATGGGATATCACATATTTGATCAATTCCATTTATAGAAAACTTAAGAAGAGTGTAAAAAAAGAGGTCAATAGCTCACTGGTCTAGTGTTCTACGAGTAAATATCGATGCGTATGCATATATTTGAGACAGAGGGATAAAAAATTTTAAAGATTACACAGATGTAAAGTTAATCACGTAACTTTGTCATTTGAAAGAAGAGTGTTCGCCGGATGGACATGTTCATCTTACAGTCATTCCGTACACCAGAAATAGTTCACCTATTACTTACCATGAAAACTTATACATTTTTTCGAGCAGTCGCTGAATCATGTCAAGGACAATGGACATATGACAGACGGAAACTTCGTAATATAAGGCATCTGTATACGAGGTATGCATCATCGAGGCCTTCTACCGTCTGTAATATAAAACTTTATATACAAACAGTT